ATAGTGAATGTGACAAATTGTTTTTATTTCATTCGTCACTAACTGATCAGCAACTGAAAGGAAAATAGTTCAAATCTGGAGGGACATGGGACCGTAGCTTGAAGGTTTAATGACATATTTGATAGCTCATGAGCTACATCATTTGTGAGTCCTCCTCAAACAGTTCTACAATATACTGTCACTCTTTATTGTTTGTGAGCTGGATGTTGTGTGCAGAGCATTTTATAAACTATCTCTGTGCAGAAGTTCATCCTACCTGGTTTATCTGAAATAAAGGTTTTATAGTCTGTGTTTTTCATAAAATGAAACTGAATTTACTTAATTAATGTGGTTTAAGTTTGAATGATTTACTTAACTGATGTCATTTTATTTCACGCATTGAACGTTGACTGTTTCAGAAGTCTGTTAAGCATCAGTACAATCTTCAGCCCTAAGTTCATAGCTTTTCATTCAGCTTGATGTAAAGCATTACAGCAATAAAACAAACATGTTGCTACCAAATAGGGAGTGGGTCTGTGAAATGTTGCTGCCATGACGGAGATCAGCGCAATGTTAATGTCAGTGTCAGTTTGATATGGTGAAATAAAAATCATAAAATTATCATAATGATCTGGCTGTAACTTTGACCCAGTTGCCGACCACTGCTGTAGTTTATGTGAGGACCTAGAAGGACACATGTTCAACTCAGTCCATAAACTGACTGTTAACGAGGTGCCCTGCCCCAAATGACTGCTGCAGAGCAACGGTCATCCGTTTATTTAGTTTTGATTAATATTGAACGTATCACGTGTCCAAATCCATTTGAATTCAACGCTTCTCTGAGCCACTAAGAACACACAGGTCAAGTGTGAAGTTGTTAAGATGAGTGGTTACGAGACATGTGTCATACATGCAGACAGGCAGGGACCAACATTTCCACAGGTCTCTCTGAATTGTTCTGAGTTGACGTGACGTTGACGTGAATTTTCCCAGAATTCATTTTACCGATTATTCTGACACTTCGCATCGCAATAAAAACAGAATGCTCTAAGCTCAACAACGTCAAAAAATACCTTGCTGCATTGTGTTCAATCTCAATAAAGATGCTTGGTCTCCGGGCGCCTTAATGCGCGATTCATGCCAGAGTCTCCTGTTCCAGAGTCTCCTGTTCCAGAGTCTCCTGTTTTCATCACACAACATGTGCGTATGGGGCATTCGCACATACTTGTGCACCCCAGGGGTCCGACACCAACCCCTCACCCCCTTCATACCTCCTCCAGTCGGATCATGCCCGTCTCTGACAGCATACCACCCCAGTCATGTGCAGTGAATAGGTGGTCAGCTTTGGACCAAGGCACAAACACACACCGCACACACACACCGCACACGCAGCTGTTACAAAATGGACACTCTAGACATGTAACACAATACCTAAAAATGACCTCATTCAGTCTCAGTCAGTTAAAGTCAAAGCTGACAGTATTTCCTTCAAAAGTGTTGGCTGCCAGGCTGACAGTACAGTCCGTAACGCCTCTGAGGCAAAGTGCCAACAGCATCTAATCCCCCCCCACCCAAAAAAAACCTCCTGATAGCCCTGTTGGCAGCGGAGATAACTGTGTAATCGTGTGTGGTTTTCATGGATTTTGAAGCAGACATGGTGCATCAAAAGATGAAACTGATACTGTTCAAGGCCAACTGTTCCACCAGAGGATGTGTGTGAGTGTGAGAGTGTGTGAGTGAAGGGTGGGAGTTATGCAAGTATGTGTGAGGAACTGTATACAAGGATTTGAGCTCGCTTAAACAGCCTCCTGCTGCTGCAGCGGCTCTCGGTGTGAAAATCATTTCAAGGACTGCTAAACTGGGAAACTGGATGTTTGTGTCCACTGCTGTTTATACAGATGCGCATAACCAACACTGTGGGAAAATACAGGAGAGGAGCTGGAGAAAAGCCTGGAGTACAGACCCTGAGAGCGTGGAACAAATCCACTATTTTATATATTTGACTTACAAACCACTTCTGTCATGCATTCACCATGCACACACACACACACACACACACACACACACACANCACACACACACACACACACACACACACACACACACACACACTTGTTTTTCTATAGTTGTGAAATTACTCATTAGCATAATGTATAGTTTAGCCCCTTACCATCATAACTATATGCCTAAACCTAAACCCATACCCTTACCCCAAAATATCCTCACAATAATGGTATTCCACCAAAATTGGCTCTCAAAACTAGAGAAAGACAGGGACATACACATGCACATACACACACAAACACACACATACACACTGGCTTCTACTCCGTGGTGACAATGAACAAAACCTTGCAATATGACACAGTATTAATGTAAAATACATATTCCCTCACTGATGGAAATAAACTCACATATTGATTAAAAAACATCAGTCTTCTCTCTTTGGTTTAGTGTTAACCTGCAGTAATCTGTGGAAACTCTACTTTTGAAGCAAGCAATGGTTTTTCTAATAATTTGTCTCCATCTACTGGTCAACAGTAAAAGTGCTTTATGTTTTCTACACTGAGCTTCATCATTATTTCCACAAGTGTAAATGCTACAGTGTTGAATTGTAAAGTTCCTGCTGGTTCACATCTACAAACTTTGTGTGTACTATGAAGAGACCTGGAGATGGTCTCAACACAGTTGCTGAGGAGGAAATGCTGCAAATGTAATGGTCCAGAGAGAAAAGAGTTGCTGGTATCATTGTTGTTTCTTTCCGGTTTTACTGTTCATTGTCTTCAGGCATTAATAACATTGTGTTCCTAAGTTTACATGGCTTCATAAGTTCACATTGTCTCACAGGTTGTCACAGTCTCAGTTTTTCATCCTATGCCTTCTTCATAGGTTCATTGAAATTTCCATATAGCCATGTATCTGCCAACAGGGACAGTAGATGTAGAGTCTTGTTTGGAACACTAGGGGTCACTGTTTGTTCAGTTTAAAGAAATAGAATTTCATTGGGTCACGGTGGATGCCGCTTTGCCTATTGGTCTAAAGTTAGTGTTGTTGAAAGGTTATTCAAATTGCTAAATGTTTTATTGCAGATAGAGATAAAGATGCAATCTTATTGTAGTGATTATAAAATATATAATATCGTACTGTAACTTGTCTGTGAAAACTGAGTAAAATTGATTGAATCAAGTTAAAAAACCTCATTAACCATTCCTTGATATTTTACACAGAAGTGAGATTAATCAAAGGTTGCAAATGTGTAGTCTCAGTCAGTGTGAACCAGTAAAAACAGTCTCTGGATACTCACTCTTCAGAGAAGGTTGCAGCTGCAGATTACACTGAGACGTCTGTGTTGTTACCTCACAGCAGACTGCTCCATGGTGAACGCTGATCATTAGTCTTTTTATGAGGATCCTCGGTGCGTGTTTGTGTTTTTCACTTCAGTCATTAAAGATGTCTGGTTTATGCTCAAAGTGAGCAGAGCAGGGAAGGTCTTTCCTAACTTGTCCAGGACCCGAGCACAGCTTGATTTCACTGGAAAACTGCTTTAGAGGGGAGTTGTTGTCGTGCTTCAGGTCTCTTCCAAATCCTGAGATTAGATTTTGGGAACCGAGGCAGACTTCTGGCAAGAAATCAAAGCAACTCTTGAGGGACCGCTGTATCTGTTTTCATTTAATGTACAAAGCTATCTCAGTGCAATGAGCCTTGGTAAAGTGGCTTGTGTATGGACAGTTTTCCTTTTGCTTGAGTTCCTGCCCCTTTATTACAGCGTCATTCTGGTGACACCATTCTTAGAAAATGGTACTTTCCAAGTTTTTGAAGCTTACTTGGAACTTAGCTCATTCCTTAATTCAACATAACAATTTGATGACATCGCCTCAGCTGTTTCCAGATCTCGAAGAAAATGTGTACATCAGGGAGAAATGGATTTAAAGGTATTGCTCTGTTTATGTTTCTCTTAAGTTGAACTGACCTCCAGAGTCATGTTGTGGAAATGCAACCTGAATCCCTTCATTAATAATGAATTGGCCTCTGTGACGAAGAGGAACCTTTCAGTGATGAAAAGAAATTGTTGCTCAGCTTTTTGTTGTTTTGTTGTTTTTGTTGTCTCTTTTTTTGTCAGTGTAATATTTGAAGTATTTAAAAATGTGTTCTTCCCAAATGTTTGACCTTCACGGATATACTCTATATGCAGAGTTTGACACAGACAGTAGTTTTCACATTAAAGTCTCAAAGTCTTTGTCTCAGAAGTGTACATACTTTCCCTTATGACATCACAAACAGTCAAAAGTTGTAATATGGAATCTTAAATCTTGCATAAATGTTTTTTAGAATATAAAACTGTAATTACCGCCCTGTGGTTCCTGACATATTGCATTCACAATAATATGAGGTGACCGTGACTATTGACCCCTGAAATTATAAATCAGTTAATTTTTAGGTCCAAGTGACAATTGGTCAAAAATTAAAGAAATTCCCTGAAGGCAGACTTGAGATATCATGTTCAAGAGGCCAAAAATATAATGTGTGAGGCCACTGTGACCTTATATTTTACTACACAAATTTAATAAGCTAAACCGTGAAGTTGATATTTGAAGCGTTCTTAAAATAACGCATTGATGAGGCTTTGTAAGTTCACGATTACCTTTGACCTCAAAATTTGAATCAGATCATCCGTTAGTCCAAGTGAATGTTTGTACAAAATTTGAAGGTATTCCTTCAAGGTTTTCTTGAGATATCATGTTCACAAGATCAGTGAGTCCAAGTGAACGCTGGTATCATATTTGAAGAGAGAGAGAGAGGGCAACAATGTGTTTTGTTAGGTCAAAGAGGCCTTCGACCACCAAAATTTGCATCAGTTCATTCTTGAGTCCAACTGAACTTTTTGTTACAAAATTTGAAGAAATTCCTTCAAATCATTTTTAAGATATATTGTTCACAAGAATGAAAGATGGACAAACTGAAAACAACATGCGTCTGGCCAATGGCAGTCACCGACTTAAAAAAAAAAATCAAACAGTAAATCAGCTGATAGCATGTTTAATTAATACTTATGTCTTGACAGTGTTAGTACACGTAGTAGCAGGGCATACAGTATTGGTACGATTAGTAACCATAGCACCAGAATCAATCATTCATTTCTTTTTTACAGGCTACATACATACTGTAGGTACATATGATTCTTAAAAACATCTTTGGATAAAGCATGGCAAACAAGCACACTATCTCTCTATTCAGTACAATGACCATTCAATATTTAGCACACTGTTTACAATTCAAGTATGAATATTAAAAATACACATATATCATAAGTTACAAATCTTAATGGTTATTACAAAAAACAAACAGGATTACAATTCTACAAAATTCATGGCACATAGTGCATCAAGTATTCTTTAAATTTCTGATACAGACCTCATAGAACAATTGACCATCATAGAAATGAATGATAGCCAAAGGTTTTCTAGCTGCTCATTGACTTATTTATCATTTATCAGCCATTCTTTAAATCAAAATAAGCTGCATTGTCTGAGAAGAAGAAAAATAAATCTGCATCTATCTTCTAACTTTGGTTAAAGCTGAACATCGGAGTAGCAGGATGTTAGGTTGTTTCTGGTAGCTTTCACGGTGAAAGTCGTTTATGATGAGTTTGACAGATCCACATGCTAGTTTTTTTCCCAGCTCCATTAATTAGAGGAGCATGGCATACATTTATAAGCTGATGCTACATACAGAATGAACTGAAGCTCTGCTGCAGCACATCTTATTCCCCAAAGCCAGTGTTTTCCTTCTCAAGTTGTCTCAGAGGTAATTCCAGTAGTTCAAAAGCACCTTTCAAAAGATCCTCATTTAAAGTTAGTGGTTATACACTACAAACTGCAGGCTAATAACTTTTTCTTAGTGAAGCAGACAATGGCTTCTCTCTTTGTAGTAGTCATTGTACATTAACACAGAATGCATCTACGATCACAGTCAATACAGAATAAATATGGTCAGACATAAATATATTACAACACATATCTCCTAGACAATGGATGTGTGAGAGGTAGGGGTTGCAGGGACCCACAGTACAGGCCCAGTGGAGAGTGTAACAGATGAGAACTTGTATGACTAATGCCTTCAAAGAGTAACACTAATAACACTTCAAAAATAAAAAAAACCTCATGGTTTTAAAAAAAGCCATGAAAAATGTTGATGCTGTAAATGAACACCAGGAAATATTGAAATATTTCAGTTATTTCCGAACAGTACCGGTGTTGATCAGTCAGTGGACACGTTTCAGTAATTCTGTGAAATGACCAGTGTTGGGCAAATAACTGAAAATGAGCAATTGGTTACAGTTACTTCTTTAAAAAGTAACTGAGTTACTTTTCCAATTACTGCATTCAAAAAGTAATTAGCAACTAGGGAAAGTAACATTCAGTTTGATATCAACTTAAATTCTCCATCACATACAAGTGTCAAATTTGATCTATCACTGTTCCCATCACCACTGTGGCCTTTAACTCAAGCTCAAGTCAGTAATACTGTTGTAGCAGTGTGAAATGAAATGTTTCTCAATATTCACCAGGTGCTTCAGGAGATGTTTACACCTTACAAATGTGTCCTGGATGTGTCTCCTGTGATCAGATCTCACTTCCCTGCTCTAAATGCAAATAATCGGGCATTTGATTTTGTTCATGAAAACCAAAGAAGACCAAATAATGTTTGAACCCAGTGTGAGTTGAAAGATTTAAGAAAAGTATCAGTCATTGTGTGTCCCTCAGTGTTGATGTGGTCACAGAGAAGTGTAAAAACACGTTTGATCCATTGTGAACCTGTTGCAGGTCAGAGGATACCAGCAGAGAACATGGTGCTTCATATGTGGCCCAAGATACATTTGTGTTCATGCAGTGAAACGATTGTGTCCAAATGTGTGCCATCTCCCTATGTGGTTTGAGTGAACGGATCTCCGGATGCATTTTGGTTTGTTCAAACATGTAATAAGCACTAACCGCTTGTGATCTGATCACTCAGGACAGATTTTAATCCATCTGAACAGGATCTATAACGTACTAATGTAGTTTTGTCCTTGTCCTCTCGGACAAAATGAAAAAAAAAATTGATGGCTAATGCAAATGTTTAGTTGAGTTACTTATTTGCGACACAGTAAAGTCGGGTGAAGGCTGTCACTGAGCTAGTCTGCAGCTGTTCACGTTCAGTATTAGTTACACTTCTTGTTTCCGTCCATAGTAGAGATGTTACAGTATCACTACTCCCAACTTTGCAAATGACCAGCTACAAATACACTAAAGGTAAATCCTAACATTAAATGTAACTTTTCTAAAGGCTCCTGATGATCTGCTATAGTTTGACCACTGACACAAGGCCGATTAGGAAGAATATCAGTAGTTACTTGCTTCATTACTGTTTCTATAAATCCTGCACCCTGAAGGATGAGTTTAAACTCAATACTGTGGTCAGCTAACTGGAAACTGATGGCAGCTTCATATTTAGTAAAGAGACATGAGAGGGTTGTAGAACATGTCATCTAAATAAATACCAAAAATGTTGACCTATGCCTTTAAGGCCAAGACGTGAGGTGGCATAGCTTTTAGCATTTAGTATAGTCGGACAAAAAAGTTTTTGTCTGATTGTAAGTTTTGTAAATCAAAGCCATCCCTCACATACTATCCTCAATGCAGCACTTCTTCATCACTGCAGGACGACAGTCACTGTTACACATATACAATGTGATATTTTATGCTGTCTCCTTGATTGCAAGTCAGTGAGATGGGTAAGGTACAATATAACAAAATGGGTTCCAAGTATTTCATAATGAAATCATGGAATTTGAAGCATAAATGTTCTTTTGTTTGTTTTTACAAAATACACTTCACTTCACAGAATACCAGAGACAGCAGTTTTTTTTTGAAAGAATTTGCTCCTTGAAGCGAGAGGAGACGTCTGTTTGTGTGTGTGTGTGTGTGTGTGTGTGTGTGTGTTTACTCCCCCAATATTTGAAGCTCGATCTCCCTTTGTATGATGCTAAAAGAATTCACAACAGTATCAGAAAAAGAAAACACTTGAGGTTTCAAAGCACAGATGTGTTGGATGGCCACTGCTGGCTCCTCTTCAGAGTTAGCAGTTTGGATGAAGGACCCGACAGTGGCCCTCTGAAGCACAGCACAGTGCGTAGAGTCTTGTATGGTTTAGCTGCCATTTGGGAACTGGAGATGTTACTACAGGATGATTAGTGTTACATGCGCCTCCACCACACTCGTACATGATTATTCCATGTTCCCGGGCTACTGTCTTCAGGGAAAGATTTAGGGGTTTGGTCTCTGCATGGCCCTCAGTAGACTTCAAGGAGTAGGCCATTGTGAGCCTGGGGAATGCACTTCCCACAGAAACCACCACAGCGACCGTAGATTCTTGTCCCGTCCTACGTACAGAAACAAATGAGAGGGGAAGGGGTGGGCAAAGGGCAGCATTTTACGCCGAGAATGAGAGCTTCATAAATGTCACTGAGGATTCCTCTTCAATGAATCAGCTAGAGATACGACATGACATTTCAGATGACATTTCACAGCTACTCCAAGACCCGACATGAAGCGCAATTATCCTGACAACTTTACATTCAGGCTAAAATCCATTACTCAAGAGTCACAATGTGTCGGCCATGTTTGAAGTGACAGACAACCACTTTATGAGTCTAATGTTAGATTCTTACCTCAGATCTGTGGACTTTGACGGAGACATAGTTGCCCTGAGATGTCCACTTGGTGGCCTCAGATACTTTGAGGCCGGTGCCGATCAGATTAATGCTGAACTGACCCTGTGAACATGCAGCAGATCAAGCAGTTTAGGAGCTTATTCAACCAGGAGGGTCAAGTGTTTTACACACGTACAGTAACTACAGACACTTTGTGCTAATGAGCACTTTGAAATAGTCCAAGAGAGCAATAGTGTACACTTTAATATGTGACAAGTTGCCTCGAAAAAGGGGAGTAAATATAAGTATTATTCTTAAAGCTAGGGTTGGTAATCTTGGAAAAGTTAGCAAGAGCAGGCTACACTTTGAAAATATGCCATTTGGTTGTGGTTATTACAGTACTGCGAGGAACACGGACACTGATTTTTCCCCCCTGAAAACTTTATTTATCGATTGCTGTCTAGACATGAAGAGGATTTCAAAAGATTAGATACAAAGTATTTCAGAAACAACTCACCAAACTTACCTTAAGTCGTGTTTACTCTGTATCTACTTGTTTCACTTACAACTTTGTTGTATTTACTTAATTTTGTCCAGTTGTTCCATCTTAAAAAAAGTTTTCTTTCAGTTAATTACAAGTTAGTCTGACTTAACTGGAAAGAAAAGTTTACTTAGTTTATAAGATGTAGTTATGTCAACACTAGGCAAACAGCTGGAGAACTGCTTTCATCGTCATCGGTGGTGTCATTATCTTCTAGTATGTTACCGGGATCTCAGTCACAAAGTCAACAAGAGAGAGAGTGGCCAAGCGTGAATGGCTCAATTATTTTGATAGAAACCATATTGGCTGTTCCATAAACCTAATCTGAGAGTAAAGTAGAAACTGTACCTCCCATAATGAAAAGAACTGAAGTACTACTGGCATGTTCCAAGTTACAGCCATAATATTTATACCCATAGCACAACTAAACTTGTCTTATTGTTTCTGTCTCATGTGCTCGTACGCGTTCTCATTCACTCCTGGATCCCTGGTCCAGTTTACTCAAGTGAACCTTTTGTATCTGTTTTAGGCAAATCATTTCAAATCAGAGTTTATAATTAAAATATTGAGTTGAATGAACTGGAAAGTGAGAGATAAGTAAAGAACACTGATGTAATGTAAGTAACCTCAGGTATTACCTTTTACAATGTCTTGGAAGTACTTATTTTCTTTAAGTGCATATTCCAAGTAGCTCCAAAGAATCATAGCAGCAATTGTTTAGAAAATCGCTCTTCTCTGACTTTCAGGCCACTTTAATACAAAGACACATGAATGACACGATGTACTGTGTTTCACTCACCTGTGGACACTTGGCTGCACTGTAACAATCTCCTGCTGTAGCAAAGGGCACAGGTCGTCCAAGAAGAGTCTGGGAAAACTGGAGGTCTGTGACTGGTGAACAGAGCAGACGCAGATCCAGAGTCACATTGTGCAACAGCGGAGGTAAACACAGAGTGGAGACAGCTGCTCAGAAATAAACAACCACAGCACAGATAGCCACAGAGCATCAGCAACTACACTTTATGTAATTAAACTTCACTGCAGGCTTGATGTCACTGCACTGTCACTTTGCCAGATGTTTTAAAAAAAAACTTTTCACTTAAAGGTCCAGTGTGTAAGATTTAGGTGAAAGGGAACTATCGGCAGAAATTTAATGGAGAATAATCCTCATGATGTTTTCACAATTCATACATTTAAATTGTATGAATTGTAGTTTTTCTTTACCCAATAGAAAAGGCCTTTTATATTTAAATACTTTATATCTACATCGAGGGAACCCTCTCTACGGAGGCCGCCATGTTTTTTACATTAGTCCAGGCTGGACAAACTAAACACCTTTTGAGTTTTTATGACAACTGAAGCTACCACAGGTTCTTTTTCATGTTTGGAAGGAGAGGGTGAGGTGAGGGGTGTTCAGCTGCAACATGCAACGTCAACACTAGATATCACTAAATTCTACACACTGTACCTCAAAATCAATTATATAAATCAGAAAACAGAAATTTAACATAACTCACCAAACAGACAAACACACCATCACAAATATCACTTTAAACAATACCAGACCAGACGGACACATTCACACACACACACCTTATCAACAGGAGGAACAGCCTGATAAAATATCCAAATATTTTTTGGGTTTTTGTTTAAATGAGTTTAATTCCAGGCCTCAGCTTTTCTTTCATTTTGAATTCCGTGAATCAATCTGGACCTTGTCTGCGCGAGAATTTTGTTTTATCATTTTCCGTTTACCCTGCAGTGTCACACACGATGACGAGGACCTCATCCTGCCCTCCCGTCACTGTGCCTGCATTAAATGATGATTAAGTTCACGAGATGCACAGGGCACACTGCAGCAGAGCCTCCTCATAACGGTCCCTTCATCTTGAACTCATTACCCCCCCCTCTTCAAGCCGCCTGAAGGCCAAATGAATACCATGCAGAGAGAGGGAGGGAGGGTGGGAACATGTGCTGTCAGGGCCCAGACGAGAGGAAGAGGATGGAGGGATGAATGTGTAAATTATAATCCAACTTCCTTTATAACACATACACACACATACACACATACACACATACACACATACACACACACACTGTATGCTGTATACTAATCCACATACTCTAATCAAAGGCATACTTGGACACAACAGGGAAGGTGGAGCTGACTGTTATAATGAGCAGAGGAATATGGCTTGAAGATGCGTGTGTGTGATTGCTCCTTTGATTTGGATGCGACTATGTGCATGGGTGTGTGCTTCTTGTACCTTCACATCTCCTTGCTTGTGCTCGAAACAGCAAAGATGTGCGAGGCAGCATCACGTCCTGTATCTTAAGAGCAGGCACGCATGTCTCTATGTGCATGCATGTATTCAATTATTCGTGTTTGCGCAGAGAGGCCCGGTGTCAAGTCCTCGCCTGGTGATGTGAACTCTGAGCTCTGAAAGGTCATTATTTTGATTTTTGGAGGAGAGAGCGTGGGGAGAGCGCAGGGAGAGCGTGGGGAGAGCGTACTGCGTTTGGACGGCGCAGGCGTGAGGGAGGTCTTATTAGCAGTATGAGGCGTATGAGGGTTAAAACAACACCGATGTGTGGTCTCATTACAGTAGACAGTGTAAGGCAATCACACAGTAATTACATACTCATTATCCTCATGGAGCTCAGGTCCAGACGAACTTTGTGGAAAAGAGTGTATCCCGCTGCTGAGTAGTCATTCCTGCAGTCGCAGTCTTGTCTTCGGCTGCCGTTGTATGGGCATTCAAAAGGGTTCAGCAACCTTTGCATATGCAATAATGAGTTTTAGGATATATTCAACACAAACACAGCAATCTCAACACAAATGCTGTATTTTCATGGTGTAACAGGCAGCAAAACAATCCTAAATCACACTTTACATAATCTTTATACAAAGCCACACTAAGTCCCATCTGCCATCACCACATTATACACACCTTTGACCATAAACCTCAGAGAAGTTGTCCGTCTGACCGCTTCGCAAAGTCACGTATTCTTTGGGGAAATCAGTCTGCATTTCAGCACAGTAAATCTAAGGGCAGACACGTTTAGACATGATATGAGAGCCTGCGGGAGAGTTGCCAGGTTGAGTCATGATGTGTGCAGGAGCAGTTGTGACAGAGCAGACGCACCTGTAGGATCCGGGACCTGACTTTGAGATAGTACTCGCCATTTATCCTCACACCCTGTCTCACCTGGACTTCCCGACAGGACGCCAGCAACTGGCCTGGGAAGAGAAAAATGAAGGGAAGAAGGAGAGGGAGGAAACAGGAGACTTTGACATTAAAGACTACCAAAACTTTTCAAAGTTATCTGAGCATTTTTTTACAACAGAGTATTAGGGCGATACGAAGAAATACAAATTGGGAGATCTCAAAAATAATGTGGTAGTATTACAAGGAAAAAGTCATAATAATATGAGGATAAAGAAAAAAACTGAAATCTGCTCCTTCTGGATCTAGAATCTTGAACCAATCTCATAGTTTTTTGAGAAACTACAAAGACCCTTTGAATAACACACCAATGAAACCAACAATGACCCGACAGTCGACCACGACCAAACATTTTCTCAGATTCAGACATAATGTCAAATTTGGACTATTTCTTCTAAAATTAACACTTTATTCTTAAAAATGTCTGACTTTACTCTTTTTTTTAAAACATTTCCTCTAAAAAAAAATTTTAAAACGTAAACTTAGCCACTTCTGCACATTAGTGCATAAATAATTTGTCGAATGCCAGAGAGATTACAAAAGCTAAATAAACACCACTAACAGAACAAATCGTCTTCTTAAATACGAGCTCTTGTAAATGTCTCATTATTTGTGTGGCCTCCTCTGTTGTCCCACAGTACTGTAGCGCTCCCACCACGCTGATTAGCTGATTAGCATTAATACTTGACTGCAGAACTGGCTGTCATCCGAGCATATCATTTTAATTTTGCTAGTGCCTGACTTGGCAGAAGCCAAGTAGGGAATGAACAGTCCAGTGCGCCAGTACTGAAACATCTGAAATGTGGGGGAGCGAACCTGCAAACTTTGGCCCGCTGCCGAGTTTTACAGCGCTTGCGAGTCCACAATGTAGGCAGCTCCCGACACACTGCCCTGCGGCGCTCTCGCAAACTCTCCTTATCACAACTTTGTAGAAAAAGGCTGACTGTCTATTTATTGTTCCAGTAAGTAATCACTCCGAGAAGTTTTCAGTGAGGCTCCGCTGTTCTGCTAAATGTGATAAACGAGAAGTAGAGTTTCTATAAACACAATCAGATACAGGGTTGGTTGCAATATACAGCAAGAAGAGAGGAAGATGAAGACTCACACTCTCTGTCTTGACATGCAGCTTGAGACTCAGGTCTCTCTGATGGACGGCAGTGTTTGGACGGTTGGCCTTTAGAGTTCACACACTCCACCCTGCGCTCCATCACTCCCGCACCACAGGTCTGCGAGCACTGGTACACACAAACACATACAAAATGATTCCCACACACTGTAACAAAACAATGAACAAATAAGCTGCAACTAAATCCACAAATGTGTTTCATCAGCAGAACTGAAAAATGCATCGAAACATTTTGTGAAAACAACGATTGGCTGGAGGAGAAGGTCTCTCGCTGCCGAACAAGCATTTTGTGGTTCACCTTGCTCCACGGGCCAACTTTCCAGTAGGTTGTGAGTGGGCAGTCTCTGAGGAGGCACGGCCGGCTTCCAGGAGGATGAGGCTTGGGGCAGTAGGTGCTGCTGGCAGAGGACGACTGGGCAGCTGTGTACGGGTGAGCAGCCTTGGAGGAGGGAACCATGGAGCAGGAGACAATACGCTGCTGGTAGCCAAGACCACAGCTGGCAGAGCACTGAGAAACACACACACACACACACACACACACACACACACACACACACGTGTCAATTTACTAAGATGAGTAAATGTTTGTACAGAGCAGTAACATCAAACACAGAAGCCTTCATCTGGGCCTCTGTGGCTCTAATGCACTAATAATGTGAATCTATCATCTTCCTTCTTCCTTTCATTACACCTATATTTATTGAAAAATAGTGACATATATACATATATACAGTATAAATCTGCTCATTTCACTTTAAAATGTTTTTGTAACCTCTTTAAATTCCTTGGGATTTCTATTCTGTTCTATTTCTCAATTAATAAATGAATAAAATCAAATTCAGATGTCCAATTGTGTATTTGCAGTAAGAACAAAGCTCACTGTTTATTCCTACCTGTGACCACTCCCCTGTGATCCACATGTAGTTGCAGGGAGCTCTCGTGCACTGCTGGTGTAACGCAGGCCTGGACGGCGGCTCACAGTAATCGTCCTGGACAGGTGTCATCCCTGGGCCTATGCACCCCACCGTCCTACCCCGCATACCCTCTCCGCAGGTTGCGTTACACTGCGAGAAAAAAAAGGAGAGAAGAACTGAGTAGGAGTGGAGAGGAGCCGGCAGAGGGGGGGCAGTGTTGTTCTTCCAGCAGCAGCATCATTGATCTCTCAGACTCCAGCTTGTCTGTTTGGTTCTCCAGATGGCCACAGATGAACAGCCCTTATCGTATAAAGCCTTTCACAAGTAGACAAATGTAATGATTGTGAGACAGTGGTAACATTAGCTCTCATGAACGCAATCTAAAATGTGTTCTGGTTGGTAATGTCTCCATAAAAGTTAAGCTGGTTTGCCTTGAGCCTAATGATAGTTTATAGGAGTATTTCAAAGTAATGATATGGAGCACAATCTTAAAATGTACTCATGTAAAAAATTTGCTGTGTGGACATTTTATTTGCACCTCATGAGAAGAGAAAAGATCTCAGGGCCGAGCTGTGAATGGAAGGAGTCTGCGAGTTCTCGAGGCAACGCAGACAAGAATCTCAAGAGAGCAAACATTCCTGCAGCAGGAGGATACAGCACTGCGTCCCTACATGGTGCCCCTCTTTTTATGCCTCACTTTTGAGGACAAAGCACGGGACATTAAAGATAGATGAGCCAAGGAAAAACAAACAGACTGCTGGCGTAGCACAGAGCTGCAATATTCAGCAGAACCAAAGGGATGATGGCCATCGCTACTTTGAGGTTTGATACAGTATGATATAGTGACTGATGGTTATCACTTAAGCCCTCACGACTGACGCAAGACAGCGAGGGTATCTACAGGTCGTCTATTTAATGGTGCGGAGAGAGACGGAGAGAGGGAGAGAGAGGGAGGGAGGGAGGGAGAGAGAGAGAGAGAGAGAGAGAGAGAGACCGGAGATCTCAGCCAATAAAAACCTTAATAAGATGGTTAAACATCTCTACATCTGTCTCACCCTGGAAACAAGGACGAGGGGGAATTCCACGTAGAAATGGGAGGAAGAATCTCTTACTTACTTCTTCCCATTCACCGGCGACCCAAGAGTAATGTGTGCATTCTGCTGTTTGGCATGGTTGGGTAACAGCAGGACGCTGGTGAGTGTCGCAGAGATCCTCTCTGACCCGACCGGTGCCTTTGAGCCGGCAGTAAATGTCTCGGCTCTGAACTCCGACTCCACAGGTGACAGAGCACTGGTAAAACAGACACACAACACACATCGATATTATCAACATCCGCTACATGGAAAATCAGTTTGTGACATGTTTGTTCATTGTGTTTCTCATGCAAGAACAGCTGCAAGGATATAATGGAATATAATTATAATTTCCCAGCATTCCAACCTCATTTCTCTCACAGACTGGATGTGGACTACATGGATTTTACATATGTAGTTCAATTTAATTGTCAGGAGGAGAATTACTCAGCTTGCATGTGTGCGTAGTGTTTTCTTTGTCTCTTGAGGACTCTTTGCAAAGTTTGATAAAATAACCCTGATTATAATGATGTCATTGGGGTAATACTCGCTAAGGCTTACAGACTTGGGGGATTTTTAATAGTTTGCAGCACAATCTGAAAGGTGCCATTGAAAAAACAAAAGGGGAAACTCCTATTGGCTAATGGCTAACCATGGTTCTTTTTCTTACAGAAGACGACATATGTAAAGACACCTTTAAGAACAACAAGCTCAAAGTATGATGAATAATTAAACCATAAAGAGGCTTGATAAGTTATGTCATGGTCTGAAACGCTGGGATCATGAGTTTGCATTTGTACGGAGCTGCATTAAGCTGAATCAAACCAAGAATGAAAACTTTAATAGCGTATTTGTTAGGTGAGCAACTTTAATTGCAAAATTCAAGAGCGAAATCTCAAGGGAGACACATTCTGCTCAGTTGGTTGACAGCTGCTCAGAAAAAACATCATTTTCCCCAAACTTTCCATCGCTGCAGCTCCTCTTTTCAGCCTCTGTCTGAAACACTTAGTTTTGGCCCTATTTAAGGGCCCCTCCCCGATAAAGCCCAGTCTGCTTCGATTGACTAGCTACCCCTCTCTGTTGTGATTGGTCAACTGCTTCCAGCATGTGTTGGAAATGTCTGCTCTCGCTTTACCTGGCTTTGTTAGGGCCAGACTCATAGCTAGGTGTGCGATGTGCAAATGTGGGGCATGTAACATCAAAATGTTGTGAGAGTATCAGGAGCTGTGTTTTCTGTGTGGGAGAGGAGCTCCCTTTACCAATGACTGGGCTTTTACATACACAAAAAAACATATAACACACGCAAAAAAAGAAAAAATCATGATATGTCTCCTTTAATACATTTGGTATTCAGTTATCCTTATACATGTAGGGTAGAATTGAAGTTATATCTGCGAGTAGTGTAGCAACAAAGGAGGGGAAGATTTATCTGTTGCTAACACAAACTAACAAGTTGGCATAGGCTAATGGCCTTACCAGACCAAGTAAGCAGCAAAACTCGCCTGAGTGCATTGAATTGAGGAAGGACACATTTTATCACTGATGATGAGTGAAGTTGTTATTTGCAAGAGAAAGATCGAGATAATTCTTCTCTCATTGATTTAAAATGTTTGGTCTGCTGAGTCGGAGTCGCTGCTTTGAAGCTCCAGCACCATGTACTCCATTAAGCCAGTTTGTCGTTTCCTCAGAGCTGTATCAGTTGGGTCACACAGAGGTCTATCTCACCCATCTCTTTGATGTCCTTTGAGAACATACCTGCATACTGAGGAAGCCCTCTGTAAGGCTTGAGCTGATTCCCCCCCACCCCCGGACCTCAAAGAACCATGCCAAGCTTCAGCAAATTCACACAGTCAGAAAATCTGCACATTATAACACCGAGTATCAAATTCCCCGAAAACTTCCAGATGTATTTGTGTTGTGCGTTTCTCGCTGCTGCAATTGTAACTGTGTTATCACAGCAGAGTGTGAGGTTAAAAGTGAAGGTTCAAGTGCGTGAGTTTGGAAAGAGAACAAAAAGCACCACAGGAAATGTGACCTTCAAATCAAAAGTTGTGTTTTTAAAACTCTTACAAAGCCTGAAAATAGAACCTGCTCTTTAAGTGATTCTAGCAACTGCTGCAGCTGCAGAAACCCGAGTGTATTCCAGCGCAAAAGAGCTACAGTTGTTTTATCGCAGATGGTGGGGACGCCATGAAACTGTGGAGTGATAGTGCTGAGTGAGCAGCTCCAGACTTAAAAGGGTAATTTCACCCAAAATACAAAACTTATTTTCTCACTTATCTTATCTTGTGGGTATTGAGCCATGCAGTTAATTTTACTTCTTGCCCATGCTGAGATTTTTGCTGCCACGTTTCTAAGAAGCCTGGGCAAATAAAACCAAAACTTAGACGGCTTTAGCTCATAAATAGAAAATACATTTTAGTGGAATTCAGATGAAACAACCTTTGAACTGGAATTTAGCATAAGAAAAAGTTGAAAACGGTTCTCGAAAACCAGTAAAAGGCTCAAAGCCTACACCCTCCTAAGCTTCACTGACTTGCTGCCCATTACAAACCCAGTCAGAGGTGAGTGAGAGGGCTGGGTAGCTGTAGAATAATTCAAACAGTGGGGCTGAGGTTTCAAAGTTGTCACATGCATGGATATTAAGATATAAAACATGTCTTTATGCTCTAGTTGAGGATTTCATGGTTGCTGGTGGTATGTGGAGGAAGATGATTGCTTCCAGACAGCAGCGGGGGAGAGAGTGAGAGGGGAGGAGGACACCCTCAAAGAGCGGGGAGTGGCAGGGAGTCCTGTGGAGGGAGGTGGACCAGGGTCTGCATGGACCTATTGGGATTTTACACTTAAATTGAAAGGAAGAAGAAAGAAGAAGAATTTTTACCAATAATTTATAATATTGGACAAATGTCCTTCAGCAGTGGATTCATAGTGTCAGAGAAGATGTTGACACTTCCCTCATGAACCAACAGATGTCTTATTTCTGTACTTGAGCACACAGTGCGCTCAGTCGTCAAGGTACTGTGATAAATTTGGTTTTGAGCGTTTCCCTCCCACAGTGAGCTCAGCTGGACTCCGAGCCAAAACTGTGTGGCGGCTGCACACGGAGCCTCTTGGTCGCAGATACCGTGACTGTGTGGTCGGCTCCACGATGCCTGTGACCTCAAACCCCCCCCTCCACAGGGTGACTCCTCCACGCATGGCTTTTACTTTTCCAGTGTCTGGTTGCACTAGTGTACTGTGGTACAGAAAAACCCTGCAGCTCCAAGATGTTCATCATGTTGGATCGAAACACTTTCATCTGCAAGGGAGGCCAAGCTCGGCTGCATCAGCTGCACCTCTAGATGTTCATATTTACTGTGTTTCATTACGACAGCTTATTCGATATTTGAGCTGCAAACACATCCTTTAAAAGATTGAGTGGATGGATTGTTTTTGTGTGTCATGCAACACTGGTGCTGGGATTGTCTCTGGTCCAGTGTGTGGTCTGGCAAAACTCTTCCAAAGGAAAAAAACTACTTTAACATTTTGTTTGAACATTTTAAAATGATATATAAATGTCCTGTGCACTACATAAACAGATTTGCACATCCAGCCTGCGGTGTTTAGTGCACACTTAGGGGAAAGGACACATTACGTTTGAACAAGAATAAACTGAGTGGTGATTGAACAGGTGCTCTGTGTGTACATGTCCTACATCTGCAGCCTCTGGGAAGCCGTCAGTCGTGTTTGTGCTTGTGTCTCAGCTGTTAGCAGCAGTCGCTGTTATCGCAAGTCCCCGAGAGGCTATTTTGTGAGGCAGAAGAGAGCAAACATACCTCCCTCCACTTATTGGCTTTCCAACTGGGGCATCCCCGTGCCCGACAGGCCTTCTGTGTTCGCGGGCGAGGCAGATGGCTGCAGTGCTCCTCCTCTGTTTTGGTTTGGTTCTGGAGAACGCAGGCTATCTCTCGCTTCTTGGTCCCGCGACCGCAAGTCACTGAACACTGGGGAGGGAAGAGGGGAGAAGGGTGGATGGGGAAAAATGGAAAAAATGGGCAGATTAGCAAAGTCCTGTTGAAGTTCAGAAGATTATATCTTTACCAATTGTGCTCATGATTAAAAAAGTATTTAAAAACAAAAACCGTTGGGTTATGCTGCATTGACTGCTACAGAGCACTGGTCACTTGTTTATCCAATTTTTATATCAATATTGAAATTACGTGTCCATCTCATAAATGTATAAATCGCTAGATTTCTCAACCATATCCAGACATCATATACCATCCATCTTTTTGGGTTTACATTTTGATGGACATAAATATTTCCCTCAGCACCACATACGCAGGATTTAAACACAACTCAAAACCAGAACCCAGCAGCTTCCTTGTTTAATTTCATGGCCAACTGAACTCACTGGAAACAAATCTCAGCTCAACAAACCCAAATGGATTTCACTGAAAACCTTTTGTCAAACAGATGCACGCTGACGGAATGCAGCCAACTATTTAACCTGTAAACAGAGGAATTACTTTAAGAGCTGCTGTGAAAGGCAGAGGGCCGGGGCAGGAGAGAAAAGATGCAGAGCCAAACGTGGATGCATGGCGAGACAATCATCTGGTACCAATAAGGAACCTGGAAATTCTTCAGGACAGCTAGAGAGACGACAACGAAGAAGAAGAAAAAAAATAACCTGTAATGAATATAAACCAGAAACCCTGATGAAAGCCTTGCAAAAGAGGTCTTTGCCTGAGATGGCAGATTAAAATATTCTAGAGCCCTCGGTCCCCATGAGGCCAGACAGCAATTAGGGTGCCCGCTATTTCTGCTTGACGAGTGAGCGCCCCTATACAAAGCCACTCCAAAAATGGGGTGCTGGAATCAAATACACAAGATGAGAAGAGTTACATTTTGTCTTAGCGTATTTTCCAGTCCAGATAATACACATAATATTGCATTGTCCTCTAATTATGATCTCAGAATGTTGCATAACACCAGACACACTATTTTTTTCTTCCTGTGCGCTCATGGCACTGATCATACTACAGACGATCATGGGGCATCGGAGGAAGAATCTAGACTCACAAACGTGTCTCGAGGACTTTTGTCTTTTCTTTCACCACTTTCTAGAAGCTGAAAGACTTTTTATTCCTGCCCTGAAAAGAAAAAAGAAGTCTACCGATCGAGATTGGAGTACCCAATTGAACCCTTCAAACAAAGCCACCTCCTGGTCCTGTTCTGTGGTGCGGGCAGTGGTTTGACACTGCACACACATGCATCACACACATTGTAATTACACAGGCATTTTAAACACAGGTCTGGCTCAGCTGACACAGAACATCAAAGCCGAGGCCGGACCTGAGCGACTGGTCCTGAGCGTGGCAGATTCACATACCCGCTGCACACTCCCTCAAAAATGATAACAGAAGTCCCTCTACCTCAGACAAAAGCAGAGACAGGCAAACATGTTGGAGGGGCTAGTGGTGGTGGTGGAGAGGGGGGGTTAGCCCCTCCTTACTGCTGTAAAAGCAGGAGGAGGAAAAAAAGAGAGAGAGAAAGAAAAAAAGGAGAGGAAGAAAGGAAATCGCAGCCATACGGGCTACGCTCCCCCGACTGAACTGTATCTGCGTTTTGTGCGGTGAGAGAGAGAAAAAGACGCAGTGTACGGCGACGTGCTCCTCCCTCCACCCTGCACCCTCATCTGTCAGCCATTAGTTAATCAGGGCTTCTAAAGACTAGAGCACAGAGAGCTGGCACAACGCGTGGGACCAGAGGACAGCTTCACCTCTGAGAGCAAGAGGAGGGCAAGGACTCAGGGACCTCTGTTTCACTGAGCCACAGCTGGGCTGCTTCACTCAGCAGCACCCACTCAGGTAAGACTCCTCCACTTATCACGGAGTCTCAGCTGCTCTCAGCCTGACGTGCTGCTATCTCACTGCTTTTGGAGAGTGTCAAAGTTGAATATGGAGGTCGGCTTTTTCTTTGGAGAGTGTTGCATTATGATATTATGAGGAGCTTTTACTGATAATATTTATATCAAATGTACTTTTTGCTTTTATGTATGTTATGTTGGATTTAAACAGTTGTTATCCTCTTGTCTTTCTGTGATATACGTGTTCTGAATGTTAGTTAAAAGCCAGAGAAAAACAGCACATAAAACCAAAAGCTCACATGATAAATGAAACACTCTTGGAAAGATTTGCCCTCCCACGTTGTCCCAGCCATTAATTTCACATGATTAGGTGGCTTAAATCGACTGTAATCCGCTGACGTTCATCCACACATGATGTGAATTTCTATAAGATGCAATGACTTGGTCTCTTTGAATTTGGCACAAAGTTGAAAACACGCCAGATAAAACAGCTTTTGTGAAAAAAGAAGAAAAGAAAAACTTCTGCAGAGAAAAAAATATTGATTTTTAAAATAATATGTAAGCAACAGGCTGATCTTAGTAGTGACAACATTCTTGATTGGATTGGGTTTCTCTGCTCTGGAACAACTCACATAATTGAGAGTTAAACCAGGCACATATTCATGGAATTTCTGGCTAAGTATAAAACATAATAGCCTGAACAGACGTCTGATTTAGTAGTAGTAGTATAGTAGTATATTATAGTGGCCTATATTTAGTATGTCATAACCCATCATGATTTCTAACAGACGTATTTCTTCTATCAGACTGATATTAGAGACTCTTTCCTCTGCACCTTTGTCTTTGTCTGGCAGGCGGCAACCTCAACACAACCCCACCCACTGCTCCACTGTGAACAGGTAAGCCAATAGGACACATGGAAGCTGTTAGACGTCCCGAAAAGAGACTCGACCATGTGGCAGTCAAACGATTAATGCTGTTTACTGTGTACTTCAGAGAGAGAAGGTGAAATCCACCAAACCAAATATCCACTTGTGTGAATGTGCTCAGTGATCAAATACATTGATCACTAAGACCTTAAGCAACACAGGTGGGTGATAAAAGCAGAAGTCAGTGAGAAAAAATGGTATATGTTGTGGATTCAAAATGACAAAGGACCTAATCACACATCATAACGATGAAAAATGCTCATTTATGTCAAGATCAGTGCCAAAAAGAATATAACTTACAAACTGGTTTCAGCTTGTTTGATTTAGCCACTATAATGGTGTAAGACAATACTTAATCTGTTTATAAGACTTCAGCCAAGTTATTTAGTATCTAAATTACCTTTTATTGATTGTCTCAAAATAAATAATGTATTATTAAATAAGACAGAAAAACGACTAAAAAGGCAATCAAGTTCACATATATGAGTTTTTGGTACATATTTCTCACATTTAATGGCTCATAACAACAACATATCTTAACATATAAGAGCCGAGGTCAAATTCCAATCACATTGCAGCACGCTTACAATGCAAGAGGATGGTAATACCAAGCATATGGTAACTGTAGTTACATAGACTCTTCAAAAGAGCTCAGCGCTGACCTGGAGCAAGAACAAACTTGCAAAGCGTCGACTGTGTGAAGGGAGTGTAGAATTATACCCTAGGCTACATGTTGTCAAGGTTGAGAGCTGCAGTATCGTCACACAAAGCTGCCTGCTCTTTATATTGTCAATCATCTGTGCAGAAAGTGATCATTATCAAGTGATAGAAGGGAAGTCTCTTGTTGCAGTTTCACTGTGTTCTCTGGTTGCACTGATTAAACTTAAATCAGCAAAGACGTGGGGCGACAAGAGGGAGGAAGATAGAGAGTCATGGAACATTCGGGCTACTTTTCCATTCAGGGTTTTGTTTTGTAAGAAGTCAAAACAACACATGTTGTCAGCATGAGAACAGCTGGTAAGAGCGGCCTCATGGGGCAGAGGAATGTCAAAAGTCATAGATCTTTTTATCCGTCAGGCCATAGTAGCCATGCAGACTTTTTGAAACCAAGAACGCGGCCAAAGTGAAATCCTTACATTAATATATGTGACTGATTCCGTGCAATTTTTAGCAGAAACCAATCTTACTGGGCATTTCAAACAATATGAAAGGATAAATTCAACAAAAATGAGGATATGTAATTGCAATATTTCCAAATGCAAAACAGGCGTATTTTGTTTTAGAGTAATGTTAATGTAATCGATTGACGAATTTCAGATGGGAGACATGATTTTGCTGCTTAAATCATCCAAAGATGTAGTTGATTAGATGTTGTGGAAATAATTTCCTTCCTGTCTCTGCCAACGCAAGTCCTGACAGCACATCTTCTGATTGGCTGAAACTATACGGCATATTCTGCACTCCATGCCAAGTATGACTTTGCCACGTCCGAAGAGTTAAATAAACACTCGCTTGAGTACGTATATACAGTTTCTTCAACACAGTTTCCTTTTTAAGTCAACACCACTCCGAAAAGATACACCGAGCAACCATAAGTCAAAACGGAATGACAAAAGAGGCAAGTTTTTCCATTTGTATAAACATTCCACTTGGAGCTTTTTCCATTACCGTGTTATACTGAAACATCCGGCAGTGCTCATGTGCACACTACGCTGCAGATGGACTACAAAATGACGAATGACTGCATTTCAGCTAGAATTCTAATTCCTGATGACAGAAGTTGAAAAATACAAACAGCAGACCAGCCGTGAAGTTATAAAGCGGTGACCTTTGACACAACACATCCCAGTCTAACTCCCTCTTCCTGCTATATGTTACACAGCTGCTTTTCTAATCTGTCATAGCAACCGGTTAACCACAGCTTGCAAACAGGGAAGTATGGAAAAGCTCAGAGAAGTGGAAGGTCTTGACCTTGAATTCATGTTTACCAAAAAAGTGATGTAAGAGAAAGGGGAATAACCTACATTTGTTTTTGTAAAGGTATTAAATAAATATTCACACCTGTCTTATTAACACATATCCATAAGCAGAAAAATGATTACAGCTGATTTTTATGGCAGCATTATAGACATTTTCTGGTATTTGCAGTGTTAAACTAAATTGGTATTACTTTTTTAACCATACCACCCTAATCTCTTTATCTGTGTCTGCTCAGTTTATAGGTGGTGGCACATCTTGGCAAAGGAAATATGCCTCAATTGGAAAAACACCCCCTTAAATACATTGTATCAATGAGAAAACAAATAAAGAAGTGTTTTTTTTTAATAAACAAATTGTATTTTCAGCTCCTTAGATTCGGCATATAGAGGATCTTGTTGCAGATTCACCATTTTCCGTAAATGGCAAATGCGAAAGAGAAAACGTGGCAGTTAACCAGAGAGAGATAGAGGCATTGGAACTGTTCGCGGCTTGGAGTCTGAAGAGTCAAAGCAAAGGTCAGTTATGGGTAATACAGTTCCTCCTTTTCACTTTAAGAAGTACTTGCGATCTCTCCAAAGCTACATTGTCAAACTATTAATATAAAGCTTTACTAACTAGAGTTACATAAAGCTGCCATAATTAGTTAATCAATCAACTTGATGATCCCACAAATCGTACCAAAAAGTATATAACTTATTATATAACTGCCAGACATTTGATGGCCTCTGTTTTTTGACTGTGAGGATTTGCTGCTTTATTTGGTCAAATGTTATAGTAAATTTAATATCTTTGAGTTTTGAACAGTTCTGTAAGACAATCTGTTTTGTAGAAAATAAAGCTGATTAATTGATAGTGAACAGAATTGTTAGGTTTTTGTTCTTAATATCTGCAGTGCACAAGATTGCTGAATAGATATCTCCTTGGATTTTTCCTTGTTTTGTGTGGAGAAGGTTCGACCAGCGGCCCAGATAGCACAGGTGATGAACAATAAACAGACCTGATAGGTAGCTAACTCATGTGAAGTGTACATCACTAAGTCAAACAGTACAATACAAGTACAGCTGAAACATCCCAGAGAGTGGTCTAAGACTTTTGGACGGCTGTAAGTTGGAGTTGGGTGGAAGAACCATTACCTCCCTGTTACTTAATATGGGCTACATCAGGCAATCGATCATCGTCTTTCTCATACTTCCAAAAAGGCTTTTTAAAAGAGTTGTTGAATCTCACATTTCCCGTTTCACTCCATCAGCTTGATAGGTCTGAATAAGACCAGGCCCTTGTAAAGTATGAGATGGTAGCCTCAAGGATCAGTGGAGTCAGAGAAGTGTCTCCTAGAAGCTTAAGACCACTTCATAATGTTTAACCAACAAGTTGAGGATAAGCAGACGCGCTCTACCTGTGTCAAAGTGAGGCCGTGTGCCCTATCATTCGATGGGTTTGGGGTAGACCAACCTAAATGCTTCCAGACTTTCACGCCCTGTCTCTTCTCATTTCATCTCACTGCATCTCTCCCAGCGCCCACAAAACAGCATCGAACCTCACAAGGACTCCTCCCTTAAAGTCTCCCACTATCCAGAACAAATTCATTGTGCTTACGAGTCCACACGTATTTCTCTAGCTTACTTCCATATGATCATTTACCTGCTCTCAAAGATACAAAGACGATGTTTATGCAAGAAAATCTATATAACAATGTGCAATCTGTTCTCCCTTCATGTTATGAATCTGTTTCGCTTGCAACGCAGGGTCATCCTGATGTGAAAGCCATGCTGCCATCCAAATAGTTTGAATCTTCAGATAACATCTCACAACATCTGTTTGTTTTTGCCAGCAGAAGTCTTAATGGTTTGCCAATCTCTCGACCATATTGCTTAACTTTTAACCAACGTCAATCATCAAGTTTTAGCTTTCTCTCAAAGGCAAAAATATTTCTATCGCCCGACTCAGATTTAAGTTTAAGCCAAGACACGATTCATGCTAAGGCCCTCCCAGCCACCACTTCAATTGCTCAAACTCAACTGGCATATGGGCAGGATGAGGAAACACAATGATGTCATGACCAGGTGACCCCGGGGTGACAGGTTTGGAGAATGTTCCTCCCTCAGGCCAAAGTCAAGTATGTCAATGTTGCGCATGTGGATTTCATCTGAAGCAGCATGATTAGTCCACAGACGCTCGACTGCGATCCCCCTCCATGGGAAAGCCTCTGCTGACAGGAAACGGTGTGTTTTTGTTAGCAACAAACAGGCATAAATTACTAAAATTGTGCCTTGGTTGCCAATTCATCACACAGAGCAGTATTGTTTTTCCTTGTGCACACATTTGACATCGACATGGCTTTTAGGGTAATTACCATTACTTAATGATATTTACATTCTGGTGGGTTTATGTTAAACTGTGTCTGCTATTCCAATTTTGTGCAATAAATGTGATAATTGTTTTGTGTCTTTTCTTTTTTACAAATGACAAAATGTGTTTCAATGACCTGTACATTGAAAGTGAATATAGCGCAACAATCAAGCTGTCACAGCAGAATAAGAAAAGATCCAGGGATGCGGACGAAAGACGGCAGCTAATTTGAGAACTCCTGGGATGTTGTGAATAAAGTGAAGCAAAGATTGAATTGCTTAATTTGTAAAACTGTTTAATTGTAAGTGAATTACAAAATAAAATATGACTTGATCACATGTATCGTCAAGATGGATGTATACCATCATTAATAAAGCCATATTTAGGTTTAAGAAATGTTTTATTTCATGTTGGCTTGACTAAGATGCCTTCCCAGTGTGTGTTGTACTGACATACATTCTCCAGAGATATTTTCCAAGGATTTATGAGCTACTCTGAAAACTGATGTGACTGATATTGATGCAAAAATGATGTAAAGTAATTAACAGAGAATAATATATTGGAGATTTGACCAAGAGAAGAGGCCGTTACATGAGGTAAGACACCCACTGAAGCCATGACAAATATAAAGAGCATCAGCTCCAACACAAATCTGACATTTCACCAGGATATCATCATATTTTTTTTTAATGACTGGAAATTTAAAAATGATAGACTTTCTATAATATATGAACTAACTTGCATGGAGGTAAATTAAAATTGATGTTTGCCACTAAATTAAGTTCAATACAATATAGAATTAAATTGGATGATTTCATTGCATTTGTTCTATGAGGGGTTTCCTATGGTCACATTTTGCTATGTTTTGTATATATATATATATATATATATTATGTATATGTATATTTGAGTATACTACTTTTTAACTGGTGCTTTCACGAAGGAATTTCATTGTGTTTTCCACTGGAGTATAACCTCTTCTAATCTTATACTAGATTATAATAATAGAATATCTATATATTCAGGCAGGGCTTTTCTGTAAATACTGGCAGAGCTTTGCTTTTGGAACTCCTCAACTTAACAACCATGCCAGCATGAATTAATACCAATTATTGTTGTAGTAAAAGTAATACTCTGGGTCTTCAGTCTTCTGCCAAATGCATTACAGAGCGCTCCATTTTTACAATGGTAAACAGATGTGCCACCCAGCGCCAAAGTTTGATTTGGCCTGTGTATGTTTTCTCCAGGGAGATTGCAAAATAAAAATGTTGAAACACATAAAAGGGAAAAGACCTGCAGTGTTTTTACACTACATTATACCAAAGTATGTTAAGTACAACAGATTCAACAGAAACAGGTTTAAGTGCAGCCCTCAGAGGTTGAGCTGTTGTGAAGATTACTGAACAAGACGGCCAAATGGAATGAAGTCAATTGAGGGTCAAATACCAAAATACCACATAATGACCTATGAGTCAAGTCTCTGATGAGTTGTTTACAGTAAATCGCCTACACGCCATATACTCCATGGGTATACTGTGCTCATATTGCAATCTCGTATTTAACTAGAGTGTAGTAGTGTACTAGAAAACGAAGAAAACTGCTGTACCCCGACAAAAACTGCTTCTCTAACAAAGCAATAAACTTTATATTTCAACCATCATTGCACGTCTGTATGTTCTGTCTTCTCATCAAAATCGTGTTCTCTAGTGAGACATTAGGATTTATGTTTTCATAACCTTGAACATAATATGTGCTCTCTCGTAAATAACAGTTACTACAGTCCTGTATTTAGTTTTTCAGTAAAATATTGCATTGACAAACAACACAAATTTCAGTTACGTTTCTTTAATATTCTTTACAGTGGGAAAAAAGCTAATTCAACATATTATGTATCTTTCATGAGAATGAAATAAATAGCAAAAAGAACAATAACAAACCAGAATATGCTAAATAAAGTAGCGTTGCCCTCTTGAGTTTGGCAACTTTGCACCACATGTTGAGCAAAAAAGAAGAGTGGGAGTGAAACTGTCATGGCTGAGGAGTCTTGGTTGTGGAAGTCTTGGTTGTGAATGACACAGAGAGAGAAGCAAAGAGTGCAGCGAGGACGCCAACATAAACACAGACTCATGTGAAACACTTCACCTGAAATATTTGTCATGATAACTTTGTTATGTCACTTTTTTTTTTAAACTGTTCATAAATTGTTCGCGGGAGACTGAATCTGCTGAGCTGCACAGGAAAGTGTAACACTTGAATGAATCTTAGTATCGATCATTATGCCTTCATCAGTGTTTATATTGTGGTAGAGGCTACAAACAATCAATGTATGCTCACTGAAAAGTGTAAAAAATAAGTTTGATTCATCGAGAGCGGGTCAGAGGACGTCCTCTGAGCAGGCGCTCCTTTACATGTGGCCCACGATGCATTTGCATTCACACAGCTAAAGGATACGTCCCAGACCACCTCCACATGTGGTTAAAGTGATCGCATTTCATGACACAATCAGGTCTCATTTGGTTCACAGCTGTACTGAGCATCGACTAATCCAGTCCCTCAGGACAGATGTTAATACCAGGTCTGAACAGGGTGTGAACTGGGAGTAATCACAGTAGGGGCGTGAAGCCAGTGCAGGTCAGCAAAAAAAAAAAAGAATTGCAACAGGTGTTTATTCCTCTTTCAGGCTGTAACACGACAATAAGAGCTTCTTTTCAACATGTAGAGTATATTAACCCAAAATCTGATCTTCTCATTAAATACTGGATGATTAACTATACAGAAGCAGATTTTGCAATGATGCTGACTGTTTTTATCATAATGCTTAATGTTTTAGTGTGAATGGGGAACAAAGCTGAACATGGGTTATGGAAATGTTAAGTTCTGTTTATTCAATATAACTAGACTTCCCATGTCCCAGGTCACATGACTGCACAGACCAAAGGATCAGACCAGAACAGTTCAGGTGCCATTTGTGTATCATGACAAATGATTCAAATAAAGTGGTTTCATCAGTCCAAACCGGAAGAACAACATTGAAGCTGAAACAACTAATAATCTCTTGTAAACAAATAAATAAGTTTTATCTGAAAAAAAAAAATCCTTCAGAAATACAAAACAAAAAAAACTGGCCAAAGGAACAAAGAGACATAGCAACAAATGACCATAACTTTATAAAGAGGAGGTATCTGTGTGCTTATGTTTGTGTTATGGCCACTGATCGAAGGTGAAGAACGGCTCAACGATTTATACTGCACTGACGGTTTCATGTGCAATAAGCTGCACTGCTGCTGCCTGATATTCATGAATACTTTCTCAGCCTGAAGATATGATAAACCTCCATCTTCAGAATAACAGTAATGCACCATTATTTAATGTAAACTATTACAGTGCCTTATCATAATGAGAGACTTCCATTCATAGACAGGATGTTAGGATCCACTGGTTGACACATTAAGATGCTTCTTTGTATGTAAAGTAAAAAGCAGGTGAATACAAATATTTTAGAATGGTAATTACAGTGTAGATTATCAGCATTCCTGTTTTTTAATGTGACCATATACCAGACAATATACTTTATTCAGTTAATGTTTAATAATGTTTTATTCCCTATAATGTTTATTTTTTAAGTTATTTCAAGGCACTTGCTTTTAATTTCATTTTTGGATGAAGTTGAATCTATATATTTTATTTCATAGTTCACTCGGTTACTGTGACAGTGTAGATGTTTTAAAATATTTTATACATGTCAATTATGTGAAACTGTATTTCAACCTAAGTAAAAATAAAAACATTATCAAAAATACGCATGAAACATGATCTGAAAATATTTTCCTCTGTACAAACTGTATTAACTCATAAAGAGATACGAGAGGTCTGACCAAGAGCACCAGCAAAAAAAATTAAATATAATATTCAGTAACGGCTACTTGAAAAACAAAATCATACTGTACAAAGATACATATACAAAATACACTGACAGTCATCTGTTGCTGTTCAATAAAGGTCATTATATAAACTCTTATACACAAATATACACTTGTGTACTTCAGATTCAGGGTGAAGACAGCAATAACAACAAAGAACATTTACTTCAACCCTCATAAATGAAATAAATATTTTCTAGAGTTATGCCTCTACAAATATATGGCAATGTTGGACAGCACCGTCCACATTTATATGATTGCATTTGGAGCCTTGTCTCAAAATGGGTTCCATGTGTTTTTCATGATCCCCTGAGTGGAGCAGCATTGTGTTTTTGTGTATTTTTCTTTTTCTTTATTTTTTTCTTGATTCTAATCAGCACCACGCCACTGCAGGGCCCCTCTGGGTGGGCTGGAGCAAGCGAGTGAGCCAACGGTAGCACTCGACACCCAGCTCTCACTCCAGAGTCACCTACAGTTTTAGGCAAAGAAATCACACTCGCCACGCAGTTCGTTTTCAGCACACACAATGTCTACTCACAGTGAGGCACACCTCGGTGGGGAGGGTAAGTGGCAAAGGAGAACGAGTTAGCACTATCATACCGGCTTCCATGGTCGGCGGTGCCAGGAGGCGGAGCCTGGGCAGGTCTGCAGGTTGCATTGCTCCATGTCAGTGGGCTTGTCCAGGATGTCACAGTTGTAGTTGTTGAGCCGCTGACCATTGGGCCTTTGACACACCACCAGGCGAGTCCTCCGTCCTCCACCGCAGGTCTGGGTGCACTGAGGTTAGAAAGTAAAATCATTCTTAATAATCTCACATCATTATATTATATAATAATGACTACTGATAAATTACTTGAGCTGGGCTTTTGCTGACTATTGTCCCTTGACCTAAGTAACCTGACTTTGGGGTTGTGTGAACAAGCAGAAATGGAAACATTTGGAGATGAAGATGCAGTCACTAACATTCACAGACAGGGTTAGGATGAAAACATAAAAGAAGTGTGAGAAATATAACCACGTTTACAATGAGCGTGTGGAAGAGTACGAAAAAAACTGTGTTTGAGCTCTAAACGTGACCTCACCTCTCCCCAGACGCCGTAGTTCCACAGAGGGCAGGGCCCGGAGTCACAGCTCTTGGACTCGGCAGGTTTTACTCTCTCGTCACAGTAGCTGTTGCTGCGTCCATCAGCGTCCTGACAGACAACCACTCGTCTCTGGAAGCCTCCTGCACATGTACTGGAACACTGCAGAGCACACACACGTGTGTCATTGAGGGCTACAACACATGAACACACAAAGAAGCCTAAAAAATAGAAAACCACTGGGAAACACCTGGGTACTACTCCTCTATAATATATGACCGATGTCGTCTCACGACCAAAGTTCCCTACAAGTTCCAGAAATCATACGTTTATTCGAACTAACACACAATATACAACCTGACATGCTGTATTTATCTCACTAAGACGACCTCCAGCTGCACAGTTCAAAACTGTTTTCCTAAGGAGGAAAAACATCAGCCAATGAGGGATTGTCTGAAACTCTGAACGACACAGCCTTGAACGGAGCAGTGGGTGCACACTGCATCCAATTAAAATGACTAATCTCCACTGTCAATAGGAGTGAGTACATTCAGAGCTCTGTATGTGTGAGGGAGGACAGCACTGGGTGAGCCTGGACTGCAGCTTCCACTCCACTTCATTATGGGAGAATGTGAGAATGAACAGTGTGCTGAGATGAATGCCTCTTCTGGGGGGATTTTAAAAAATAGAAGAATTTTCTTCTCATGGCTTTCAGAGAAAAAGAAACACACAAAACATCAATCATCCTCTGAAATCCTTAATGTGATCTCTAAAGTTTTACAGAAATAAACACATCTGTTGATGGAGCAATGGGCTTCTCATTAAGTGATTTATTAGGTGAAAATTTCAAAACAGGAAATTTAGGGGTAAAACATTGTGATTTTACCCAGAACTGAGATGTTTTGCCAATTCCTGAGGAGCAGATTCTTTCATTTAAATAACACATTGGGTTCTACTTTAACTTAACTGGACAGCTAATAATTCTAGAAATTACTGTCTGTATGTGGCTTTAGAGAACCATTCTCCTTTTAGCTTCATACCAGGCATGTGTTTGTTAAGGGTCCAAGGAAGTACAGGGTTGAATTTGTTGCAATTAGGTCACGTAATTGGTTCCATCTTCATAAACTTTGAATAAACAGGTGACCAGTGTTCTGTAACTGTAGCGGCTGGGACTGATTCTGCAGTTCTGAGTTCTGAGTTCGGAGGACTGAGATGAACTTCACTAAACTTTGAATTAACAGGTGAACAGCTCTTTGTGCTAGCTTCAGGGTTCTATGAACTGAGTCCAACAGCTGGTCTTTACTTGCAGCAGCTCAATTACTGCAGGTCACTTTTACTGCATCAGAAAGAAAACTACAACCAGCACTGCACTAGTATACACAAATACTAACACAAATTGGGGTGAAAGACCAAATACTAAAGACTAAAACTACAAATGAAGGTCATGCATCCTACAAGTTGTTGTGGATGCCATCGCACACGATCCAACTATTTCTTCCACTCATGTGATTTCTATTAAATGCTGTTCAGGTCTCTTTTGCAGCTCAACCACTAAAGGCCAGACATAGCTCTTGTGTTAGTGTTAATGTTGGCCTGGGTACACTGGGGCAATTTCATGGCAAAATGGACTACAAAATAAAACTTTGTGCATTAGACACAACTTCATCTGCACCGATCTTGGCATAAACTAACTCAGCTACCACACATGGTTAAACACAAAAAGATGAACTTGAGCCCGATGAAAATAGCATCCTGCCTGCATCTGAGCCAACACGACTCAAAGCCAAGAGCATGAAAAGCCTGAATGGCTCCGATCCGTTCGGGTTCGTTCATGCCCAATCGATTTCAGCCGAAGAATTAAGGTCGCACCTTCAGGGGATGATACTTTGGATACATAGCTACAGTATAGAAAACTAATGTCTTTACTTACACTGACACAACATTTATACACAGTATATACACTCTACAGTGTATGCATTGCAATGTGTCCATTGGTGCTGTTTGTAAAGTCCTTTACCATGTATGGCCCTCTGCCCTGGGAACTGAAAACATCCACTACCTCACCCACCCAGTGTTCACAAGGTTTTGTTTACATGCAGACAAACACAGGATTTCACAGCATTATGTTATATATACTATACACCAAAATGGCCAAACATCAAATAATTTCATTCCTCATTGGCTTTTTCACATATAAAACATAATCAGGCTCCAAGAGAAGATCTGGTTTCCTGAAAATGCTTTCTACTACAGCACCAAATACAATACGCTGCTTTTTATCCAAAGATCATTTGCTGAACAAACATACTGCGCCCCAGGGTCCGGTCCTCCACTGGTTGTCTGCAGAGGGCACATTCCAGCTGCTGTGCCCTGGATGGCGTCCTGGGTCCTGTGGATATCCGTATGGCTGGTTGTTGATGCGCTGGCGGTTGTAGGTAGAGGAGCAGGGCACAGCGGTACACTCCTTTTCTGTTGCAGGCTTCTCATCCGGGTCACAGAAGGACTGGTCCACTGGCTGGTGGTAGTTAGAGCAGACCACCTGTCTGGTGGATCGTCCTGTGCCACATGTTGCTGAACACTGTAGCAGGGGAGAGAGAGAAGTGTAACACACAGACGTGAGGGAGGGGGACAGGACATTTTTGAGAAATGAACAAGGCAGAAATCTGATTTAAGTTATAGACTCAACTTCACAGTCTGCACTGCTGTAAGAACCATGTAGTAAACTAAAGACTAAAAGTAGCTGCGTCTCATCCATGATGACATGATTTTCAAAACATGTGACGGATATGTTTTGCGATTTTACAAGAAAAAATTTCAATACACTTTTGTCATCCAAGTGTCCACAAGCCCCGACATTCATATTCGACTTGAAACTGCGTCATTGACACTGTGTTTTAAGCTTAAAACTCCACTACCAGAAGTAGCGATGCTAGCGGACATAGCAATTTTGGTCGTGACCGGCCTCCAAGGAGGATATCAGTGGACTTTTAGGATTAAAACACATTGTAAATGACGCTGTTTGAAGTCAAATATACATGTTGGGTCTTGCAGACACTTGGAAGATACCTCACGAACAGTATGGAGGCATGCAATGTTTTTTATGTTGTTTTGTTACGTCTGGAGGAGTCACCAGTTACTTCAAATGTATTGAACTTGGCTGCAACACTGTTTACCCCTGAAACTCCTGAAGTGTTTTGTTGACTCAAACACTTCACCCACCCCTCCATCGGCATAGTGGAGAGTGGATAATGAGTGAATTTACATTTTTCAGTGAGTTTTAACCTTTAAGAGACAAAATAAGTTGATTCTATTCTTTCTAAATGTCAGAATCCTTGTTTCTCATCTCTGAGTTCACATTCCTGAATGACCTTTTCCACTGCGACTTCTTCCCCAAAGATTTCTCCAATTTATGTCTCAAATAAATTGTTTGTGGGCCAGTTTCCAGGTTCTAAATCAGCCTTAAGTTCGGGGAGTGTTGTTTTCATGTATTGTTTCATGATGTGAAGCCCCATGAGTCTGTAACTGTGAATACAACAGGAGTAGAAATCAAGTTATTATGACGTGAATTTAATGAACTTAAGACTTTGTCCCCTCAGAGAAATTTCTTCTGGGATTTTATATTTAAAAGGATTTTCATTTCACATGAACATGTGATTAAAAAGATCAGAACAGAATCACTGTAAATCATCTTGGCTCCTTCACTGCCAGTTAGACGACCCCACCTCTGATCGCTCGGTGACAATATCCAGAGTTTTGGCTCTCTCTTTGTGTTGACGCACAACAAATCAAGACTTTAAATGCAAAGACAAATCAAGCCAGTCACTGTAGTGGGAAACAGCTGTATTGATTGGACACAGTGTGAACTCACTGGAGACCACTCCCCGGCACGCCATTGGCCACAGGGGCTGAAGCAGGCGGAGGTCTCTGGGGGGCGTGGCAGATGGGCGCAGTACGATTCGTCGGCCACTCCTCCCTGGGCATCTCTGCAGCTGACATAACGCGCTCGCTTCCCCTTGCCACAAGACACGGAGCACTGGAAGACAGGCAGATACAGGCAGAGCTGACATGAATGTTTGTCTTGTGGAATTTCAGTTATTTTCATTTTCAGTTTTTATACACTGTGGTTTTTAAAGTGACGTGTGAAGTGTATGATACTCTTTCTGACTTAACAGGAGGTGCCATGCTGTTTAGATAATGAACCACAGAGCTGAGTGGTTGTCAGTGATATCTAAACTGTGTTATACAAGTTTTTATAGCACTTTTAGGCAGCCCCAAATGTCAATGAGGGCATAGAATATGTACAGTATACTTTATGTATCTATAAACACTATATGACTGATAAGTTTAACTTACACAGGTGGTACATACGTAGTATATACTGGCAATGGAACGCTGCAATTATGTTCGATTAGAATTCAAATCTACTTTTTTTTATTTACCATTTTATGAATGTTTTATGAATTCTAATTGATGACATTTTATGAAGTAAGCTTTTTATGTGAAAAAAACCAAAACATTTGACTAATCTGCCCCTGTGTGGTACGACTTCTGATCACTTCCTGTGACTTAAAAAGGATAAAAAGACAGTTGTACCATCTTGTTTTAGAATGCATCTTTTTTCTCATGCAGGGTAAATAATCAGCTTTTATAAATTTAGTTATGACATTGATTTCAACGTTCATGATTTTAAACCTTCATGTCTTTATCTACTTTTCAGCCAGCGATGAAAATAAACAAAAATAGTGTCTGTGCGTTAGACCTTTAGCTTCAGGTTTGTTTGTCTGATGAGACTAAATATTTCTTCTATCGCTGGTGTCCTGAGATGACTCTCTCATCACCTTTCAGCAGCTCGTAGTCAAACGACACCTGTGCCATCTCAACACGGCATCATAGTAAACATTTCAGAGGAGATGAATACCTAATGCAATCAAATGGCTCCAGCTCAAACAGGCCCGTTAATATCTCTCTCATATCAATGACACTTTAAAGACGATGGCAGTTCCGCTGCTTGGGGCAATGTATGCCTGTGTATATGTTCATGTGGTGTGTGTGAGTGTGTGTGTGTGTGTGTGTGAGACCACACTGCTGGCCTCTTTGACATGTGAGCTCACAACGACTTTCAGATTGACATACGGGGCTCAATCTACGAAACCGTAGACTTGTGTTTAGATGAAATCTGGTTTTCATTTGCAACGAGTAACAATGCAAAAGTATCAGGGAGACAGAGGGGCCTCTCAGCCCAGACAGTGGCGTCTGTGTGTGTGTGTGTGTGTGTGTGTGTGGGCGGGTGTGTGTGGGTGTGTGTGCAACAGCAGGGGGTAAAAGAGACAATGCCAAAGAGGATCATGGATACAGTATGTGCTATCTGAAGGAATGTAGGGATATACAATAAATTCTTGAATATGACAACCGTATATTTGTAAACATACAACCAGGATACCCATCATTATAGGAGAGTGGTTTCCTTCTATTAACCCCCCCCCCACACACACACACACACACACACACACACACACAGCTCCATCAATATTCTCACATTTCATTGTCAATGACAGGTTTCTGACAAAGAATGAAAAATTAATGAGAGGTAAATCTCACTCTAGAGCTCAGCAGATCATTTACCCTCAAGCTGCACACACAGGAAGATGAATGCTACGGTACAATATGTATACAAAGTGCATTGTACATTTGTATTATTATTCATTATTATTATTATATTAGTCATTTGCTCTGACAGACACAGTAAATCCTGTGTGCGTTTCCTTACCGCAGTCCAGGAGCCGTATCTCCACTGAGTCAGGAGCTGAGCTGAGTTGTCAGGTCGAGGTGTGCTTTTTGCTGGAGAGGTCCATGGACATCCTGGCATCTCACAGTCCTACAAACACAAACATGCAAACACAATATAATGAGCTGCATGTCATATGTGAGCTATTCAGCAACAGACTGAAGCAGAGGAAGAAACTGCGCCACAAAAACATGGGTGTTTATGTAATCATATCTTCATTCAAGAGCGTGTGGTCTTACAGCAGGACCTTTTGATTTATATGTTCAGATTTTGCAATGCCCACAAATGTGCCTAACATCTGTCAATACGGTAAGTGACCTCAATTCCAGCTGCAAACAGATCACTTATCTGGAGTCTGAAAGGTCATCAGTTCGACACTGTCTGCCTTCAGTGCCCCTCACTGTCCAAAAACCCTCAGCAACACACTTAAACCACTCAGGCAGAGTGCACAGCAGCCGTGTGGTCTTTGTCCTCCTTGACACAGACTTGGACTTTGGGTCAAAGTGGAGCAGAGCAGGTAAACATTTAAAGAGGCTGCTCATGATGTTAACCAGGTCACAACCTTTGCTTCATTGAAGTGTGGAGTGAGGGTCATGTGCTTGATTTAAGGGTGTCATCACAGAGACAAACGATCAACAGATGACTGATAAGAGCCACCCCACACACATCAACAACTGGAAAAATCTTTGGCTGCTCCTCTGGAACAAAAATCTGAGTGATCCTTGCTGAGTCATGCTTGATTGTAGATGTACCATGCCCGGTTCAAATCTTTGCTTACAGTGAATGGGAGACAATGAGATGGCTCTGCTTGTCATCCTCATCATCTAAACCACATCATTTCCTTGCAGCTGTCTGGCTCACTCAGCTCTCAGTCGATGGTCTCAAGCTCAAATCTCGCAGAAACTAGATGTACTTCCACGAAGGCTAACGCCCTATCTCACCATGTTAAAGAAAAAGAAAAAATAATTCCTGCATCCACCAGTTAATCTAGATCCATGCCAAAGTGTAATTCTTTCTTACTTGGGTCATGCAACACTCCTCTAATAAATTTAATGGAAATCGGTTCAATAGTTTTTGAGTAATGCTGCTGACAAACAGACTAATAAACAGCAATGAAACGCAACCGCCTTGGCAGAGGTAATAATTTAACCAGTGATGTTCAAAGCTGGACCAGCCAATATCTTTTTACATTAAAAAGGCATCAAACATGTAATATGAAAGGGGATACTCATAGTTAAGAGCCCACTGAGAATTAATGCCTTATAGTTTATAGTTCCCCAAAGATCTATGAAACATTTTAGCTTCTCCTTACTTTGGTTTTCTGGCAACAACTTTACTGTTCATTCTCGCAGCTGTAATTATTCCAAACCCAGCACGTAGCTGCTTTCACTGCGTTGGTCGGTAGTCGTCTCTACCATCAGAAAGAATAAAGCTAGGTGTGTAAAGTGTGAGGTTGCATGGAGGTTTACCAGCTCAAGACCTGCAGTAACTGGCTCATATCAAGATGATGCACTCACACTCACACAGTTTAAGGAACGAAGATGGCTCCAGACAGCACATGAGGCAAATCCTGTCTCGTCCAGTCTAGCTGCACTGATGGTAACTAAATCTTTAGAGTCATTAGGGGTGGGCTTCCTCTTGAGATAAACATGTGTTCTCTTGTTTATTATATTTAGGAGGTTAAGTTAAGGTCCTTGGGTTTGTTGTATTTGCCCTGATGGTACAACCAGCTCCATCTTTCTCTTTTTCTATATTATACTGAACATGAACACAACAATCATCAGCGTAGAATCTGAGTATTCTGTGACCTTGAGCAACATGAGGCTCCTTCATGTTGTGTCTCAGCCAACCCTAACTAGGATACAACACTCAAAGTAAAGAATCTAATAAACACAGTTAGCAACGAGCCAGTGATCACACTGGGGTATTTATCAGCTTAAGTGCTCTGGGATTCCCTCGGCAGTTGATCAAGACCAAACACAGAGCTGAAAGGAAGGTGAATATTGGACTTAAAGCCAATATATTAACATTTATTTGGAGTCATAGCAAGAGACACAACGACACGTGAATGCCAACATCGCTGTGTGTCTGCTGAAAGGGAACTGAGAACCCCCAGTTCCTTGGCTGATCACTGATCTACAGTATAGCTGCTATGTACAGTTGAAAGATTCACAGTAAGAATCAGCAGTTCTTTCAAGCCTTTTATTTAAGTTGGTCCTGTTTATTGTAAACTGCAGTTCACTTTAAACCAGTGTTCTCCATATTTGAGAATCATATCCATCTCCATATATCAGAATATTTGGACGTTTCTAAAAATAACATTGATGAGGCACTATATCAAGGCTTAATTCCTGAGCTTAGAGAATCCCCTTTGTATAAGGAAGTTGGTAAAAAGGCTTTTATGTTTTTGGCTCCTTCTCATTGGAATAAATTACCTTTAAATAAAAGGTCTCTGTCATAATCAAGCTTATTCAAAAAAATGTGTCTTGTCATCTTAAAACAAACTGCTTATGCTTTCAGGGATGATGTCATGATTTCTTGTATTTCCTTCTTTCCTTCTTTACTTTGATGAGCGTTTAAGTTTGTAACTTCTGTCTTTTGTTCTTACTGTCTTACATACCTGACTGTCTCTGGGCCTCGCTGCAGCGTTGCACTCTCTGTCATCCACTGTGTTGCCGTAGTCCCCTGACACACACCTCACCGCCCTCATCTGGTAGCCATGGCCACAGGTCACCGCACACTGAAAGGCAAAATCACACAGATACATTCACACAAACACAAAGAGAGAGGCCCAGTCAAGCGCAAGATATCTCAAACTCTATCTAAGTATGTCAAGGTTGATATCTTAGACGGGGCCTCAGTCAAGGTCCAGCTCAGCAGACCCTGAGTAAGACGCTGACATGCACACACACGCACGTTCACATACATTCACATACACACCCATACACTCAGCTCGACCCTTAACCTAGTTCTTAACTCACATACGAGTTGATCCAAGCACGTTTAGTTAAGAGAGCAGAGGAAGTGCCACAGGATAGGTTTATTTGAGCAGCAAATTATAATTACACAGGCATTAACGAGCCGATTCATCCCAGCTCTGTAAATACTACTATCTGAATTCATACAAACACGAGTGGGAGGGCATTAGATCTACATGTGTAAACTAAACTATTAACAGCCAAGGACGCCGTTACATACACGGTTCATTTAAGTTCAAGCTTTATCTTAACAGTGCTACATCTATGAAGAAACAGCCGAAAACCTATGTGCTGATGAATGCATAAGACGTGCGTGTGTGTGTGTGTGTGT